ACATTGTTGAATGTATGCAGTTAATAAAAGCTTGGCAAATATTAGTAAAGGACTTGTAATGGTTGTGAGTGACATAAAGGTTAAAAGCTTTTTATAGCATTTCACCAAACTGGAGTAAAGCTTGAAGAAACTGAAGTGATGTGTCGGTAGGAAATCTCAGCACAGATTCAGACATCATTAAATATTCATTTTTTTAAAAACTGGAGAAGATGCAACAATTCTGCATATCTGAATTTAGTTTTGAAACTTTTAACATTATTTACCTAGTATTATCCTGTTCCCCTGTTACCAGAACTGTCCCAGTTTGAAATTTCCTGTGAAAAAAGATGTTTTTTGTCCTATGCTTGTCTTACACTGTTTCTATATAAGGACCAGGACAAGAGAAGAAAGGACTTGTGATAGATGAGCATTTAGGGAATATTATCTCTCAGAGTAAAATTTGATTATCAATTTTTAGTTTGCTTGCTGCTGTCTCTGCACATAGGAAAGATCTCTGTGCACGCCAGGACCCAAGGAACTTTCCCAGCACCTCCTCAGAGCTCAAGTCACCCGGGGGAGAGTCACAATGGGAACACTAGAAAGCACACACTGTTTCAGGAATTCTGTAAACACTGGATTCCAGCTCCCAAAACCGCTTGTAGATTCACTTTCTTTAAAGGCTTGTCTGGACGAGGATAAAGGTGCATTAAGAAAAGAAAAAAGGTGTCAGTGAAAACTTTTAATTAACGTGTTTTCAGAATCTCAATGTTGACAGGGTGTGTTGCATTTTAGTGCATTTGCCAGCAAACAAGTTAAATACATTTGTGTCCCAGCTACGTGTGGCAAGTTAGGACATGTTTTTAAAAGTTTCAGATTTTAACAGGAGTTAAAACATGTTCATGATTGTGCTTTTACCTTAGCAGAGTGTGAGTGTCACTGATGGGTTTTTCTGGGACTCCAGCGAGAAGCTGCCATACCGGCAGGGAGCTGTTATTGAGCAGCTTTCTCCTTGTCCTTTCAACTGTCCAATGAAAATGCCATTTCATTCACCTGTATTTCAGGAATGGATAAAATTAATGTTTTAGGCAGTATTGGGAGAAGAAAAAAAATGTTTGGTACAAGTGAGTTGGGAGATTTGGCAATAGCTTCAGGAGTCAGAAGCCATGCTTTCATAGGGTGGTAAATTGCAGCTTCAGAGTACCTGATGTAAGGTCAGGATTTCCATAGCCACATAACCCAGAGTGTGGCACCACATTCAGCTTTTGTTCTAGTTGTGGACAAATACATTTCAGGAGCATCTTTGCCTCAGCTGCTCTTGGGCGAAAAGCTATCAGCTTTTTTTCCTATCCTCCCCACAGAATGTTAGTGCAAAGTTGACATAAGCACTACACACCATGCTTGTACCTGGCTAGCTTGACAGGAAGGTTTGTGTTTATGCCCAGAGTTGTGGCTGCAAGGCACAGATTTATTATTAATGGTCATGAAGTCACAGCCAAGAGTCAGTAATACAGTCAGCTGCGAGGTTGATTTGCTGGGCAGCTCTGTACAAAGCATTTTATCATTCTACAACTCTTCCACCTTCCCAAAAGGTTGAGGATGAAAATACCTGAGGAAAAATGTGCTGATAGTAGTCACCTTTGGAAGTACTGCAAAAAGACAACTTCATCTAGAGGGTGCAACTCACTACTAGAAACAGCAGACCTTTGGAGGAGCAAGGGGAGGCAAACCCTGCTGCCCCTGCCCCCCCACCCCCACTGAGAACAGTGTCTCTTCTTCATTTTGGGGCTCCACAGAGCTGTCTCTCGGTTACGGTTGTCATGTTCTTAGAAATATCACTACACATGACACAGGGGGGAATATGGATTTTTGGTAACACAGCTGTTGTGGTAAAAGCCTTAACACAAATTCCAACTAAGAATATTCTATTCTGTGCAAATACACTTGACAACAGTACCATTTTTTTCAGACCCTAAATCTCCAGCACCGTATACACAAGCAGCTTTACACTGGTACATCCTTGCTCTTGCCACAGAAATTCTGACAACTTTTTATGTGGAAGGCACAGCAGAAAAGTGTTATTCTCGTCTTTGTCCTGTTGCAAAAAACTAAGGAGGTCTTTTTGTCTGTCTGTGTTTTTATCTCTCTCTTTTCCCTCTCCCTGCCTCTTGGAAGGAGATTAAAAGACCAGGAACTTGAGTAAAGTACAAGTTTAAGAAAGAAGAATCTCCCTCCAGCGTATCTCTTTGCTTGGTGCATAAAGGTGTGGTGCGACAAGGAGCAGCCTGGTAGCTGATGGGCTCAAGAGGTCATTTGAGGGGTTAAATCTTGTATTTGCACCCTGCGGTCAAGGGTTTGGGTTAGAGATAGCTGTCCAGGTTTTAATTGCACTGACACTGACAGAGGGACCATACATATATCCCAGATTTCTTGCTTGTCCAGAGGTTCTACAGAAAAACTTGTGGAACTAAGTACCTAGAGTAAGATCAGTCAAGCCTTAGTCTTTTTTACTTTCTCTTTTTTTTTTTTTTTTTTTTCTAGTTGTAAAACATTGAAAAGGTTGAAAAACATATCAAAAGCATAATGCAAAACACACCGTCTAAACTCCAAGTCAACATGTGAAATTTTCCGGTGAGGCTACTCTGAAATTCAGACGTAGCTACGGTGGAAAGTAGAAATGCATACGTCCGTGCCGGTGAAATTGCATATGCCCGCTCAGGATGGACAGGTGCCTTTTGATAGTGACTGCGAGGTCCTGCCATGCTCTTCCACCAGGTCTTCTTAGGTGATCTGTTACATAAACCAGTCTAAAAAGATAAAAACCCAAACCACCGCCAACAAAATCACGATTTCCTTAATATCCAGATTAAAAGGAGCAGGCAAAACACAACGCGTGCAGTTGAGAAGCGGGGGAGGATCCCGAAGAAGGAAGCAGTCCTGCTGGCCGTGCCCCACGGTTGCGGTGCCGTCACGCCATAAGGTGAGCCCTCCGCCGCTCGCTCCATCCCTTCTGCCGCCGGTGCCCGCTGCCTCACACCACTCCACCAGCACGCCCGGGAGAGGCGGCAGCCGGCAGATCCCCGGAGAGCGGCTCCCGCCGCCGCGGCCCCCGGGAGCTGCCGCCGCGGCGCCCCCGGCCACGACCCCGGCCCCACCCGGCCCCGCCGAGCCCAGCCCAGCCCCGCAGCAGCGGGGCCGGCGGCCGCAGGTGACGCCGGGGCGGGCAGAGCCGCTCCCGATCCCACCAGGGAGGCCCCGCCGCCCCCCGTCGTCGCCAGGGAAACCGCCCGGCGGCGCGGCCCCGCCGAGGGAGCCTCGGGGCGCGGCGGCGGCGGCGGCGGCACCCCCGCCCTGCCGTGGGCGGTCACCCCGGCAGGGCCGGCGGCCGCCCCCCGCGCCGGCCCCGGGGGCTGCGGTGCTGCCTGTGCGGGGCGCACGGGTGGGAGTGGGGGCTGCCCCGGGGAGCGGGACGCTGCTGCGCCGGGCTCGGCGGGGCGGGCGGCGGCGGCCGAGACAAAGGGAGCGGCGGCAGTGGCTGCGGCGGGGCTGTGCGTGAAATGCGGCGGGAGGGAGGGAGAGGTTTTATCCCCCCGGTAAAAAACACCAGCCAAATGCCCCTTTCTGCCCCCCAAGAAACGAAGTAATCCCCTCGAGCGCTTGAAAGCAACCGGCTGCCCTCGCCGGGGTTACCGAGAGGCGGCCCTCGGCGTCCGCATGAAGCCCACCGATCCCGCCAGCCCCGGCAATCCACGGGGAGAGGGAGGTGGGCGGCTGAGCCGAGCCTCCCCGCTCCGCAGCCCTTCATTATCGGAATCATTTTAACATCCTTGTTTATAAACAAGAGGCGTTCGGAGGAGATTACCCGACTATGGGAAAACGATCGTTCTGACGCTCGTTTCTGCTCCTTAAAAGGGGATGGGGGTGCCGGGGAGGGGGGAGGGGGTCTAGGCCAGCCTTCCCCGCATCAAGCACGGAGGGAGGGAGCCGGCCGGCTCCCCGCACACGCCGCCCCCTCCCCCGAGAAAGGAAATCACTCGGGTCCGTGATATTTCGCCCACCCCAACGCTGATAAGCGTTCCAGATCACCGTTAATTCGCATGCATTAGTTTCGGGTTACATCTTATTCGAGGGTTTAAATTTAACGTAAATACACACTCGGGGCTGAGGTTTGGGAAAGCGTGAATGTTTCCCTGATAATGTCGCTTCGCCCACTACTTGAGTGCATGGAAATGTAATCGTGAAGTGGGTCACCGCCTCAGAAAATACTTTAAAAACACAAATCAGGAATAATCAGACAGCAGAATTTAATTAGAGCCGTAGGCTAATCACAAAATATTTTATTCCAAGCCAATATCGCTATGGGGGAGGGGTCCGTTTCTGCTCCGGCAGCGGCTCCTGCTGCCGCTGCTTTAGCGTTTGCAACATCTGGCCTACAGACCTACTAATTTCGACTCGTGATCTCGTTCGGCGAAACCCGATCTACGTGGTTCAAATACCTTCCAAATTGGGGGCGATTTAACAATCGCGACCAATTAAACCCGGGGAAGAAAAGAAAAGGGGGAAAAAAAAATCACAAAGGGGGGGAAAAAAAAGCAAGCAGCAAATCCCCTCCTTCCCTCGCTCTCCCCCGCCCGGGGCTCGCACACACTATCTGTTGCTCTCTCACGGCGGCAGCGGGCGGGGGCGTGCGGCGGGGCCGGGACGCTCTCACTCACACTCGCACTCGCACTCACCCGCACGCCCCTCGCACCATTGTCCCTGCCCGCCCGCCCCGCTCGCTCTCTCTCCCTCGCTCTCGCTCGGGGTGTTTTGTTGGCGGCCCGGCGCGGGGCCCGGCGCGCCCGCCCGCGCCGCGGCGGAGCGGAGCGGCACATTCATTATCGGCCGGGGGCCGATTTCAAACCGCTGCCATCGCGGCTCCATTGTTCGCCGGGCGGGCGGGCCCCGCCCCCCTTTGTGCGCGGCGGCCGCGATTGGCCGGCGCCGGGCGGAGCGCTGCCGTCACCGCTCGGGAAGCCCATTCATCTGTGCACTTGGGCGTTGGACTCCGCATCTTATTAGCAACCAGGGAGATTTCTCCATTTTCTCCTTGTCTACAGTACGGCTACAAATCTGGGATTTTTTATTACTTCTTTTTTACTAAACTTGGGCTCCTTTTTTTTTTTTTTTTGCTCGACTTTTTCCTCCCTTTTTTTCCCCTCCCTCCTGTGCTGCTGCTTTTTGATCTCTTCAACTTTAAATTTTTTAAAAGGAGTGCATTATAATCGGTTCTGTTCTCTCTTCTCTTTTTTTTTTCCCCTCTGGTGTGTGTGTGTGTTGCTGCTGCTGCTGGTCGCCCAGTATTTATACCAACCCAACGCTCTTTGTTTCCCCTCCTTTTGGATCTGTTGAGTTTCTTTGTTGAATAAGACAGCATGGGTGCCCAGTTCTCCAAGACCGCTGCAAAGGGCGAAGCCTCCGCCGAGAAACCTGGGGAAGCAGTGGCTGCATCTCCATCCAAGGCGAATGGACAGGTAAAAAACGAAAAGAATTTTAAAAAAATATTAAATTACTCCTTTTTTTAAGCCAACTTCGACGGACTCTTTTCGCATCCTGTTTAATTCTTCTTCCTTTGATGCCCGAGTGGCACATTCAATGGAGAATACGGTCGATCCTTTTATCTTTGCAACTCGAGGCAAAGGAATAATTTCTTTATTTTGGTTAAACGGGCTCGGCTTTGAATGATTCCTTCCTTTATCTTTCCTGCGTGGGGGGTGGGGGGGAAGGGGCACGGTTCTTTCTTTCTTTCTTTTTTTTTAAATCCCTCGTGTATTATGGTGGAGTGTCCCAATGGCTCGTAAACGGAAGCATCTTACACCGCTTGGCTTTTCTGCCGGCTTAACCTCCTCCCGAAGACACTCGGTGCCTCTAGATGAACGCCTCTCGTGGCACAGCCGGACGGCCGTGCAGTAGCGGGGTCCGGAGCCCCCGGGCAGGAGGCTCCGCGGGCAACCCCCTCGGGCGGGAGCGCGGGCCGGGGGCTGCGCCGCCCGCCCCGTCCACGGTAGCCCCGCCGGTGGGTCGGCAGCCGCGGGGCACGGCTTTCTGTCACCCACCCGCGCCCCCTCCCCAAGCGTGAGCCGGGCTGGCCGTGCCGCCGCTGCCCCGCGCAGCGCCGGCGGCGTTGCGGGCAGCCACCCCCCGCCGCCCCCGCAGCTGCCGCCCCGGGGGGCTCCACCCGGCCCGGCGAGAGCGCGGGGCTTCGAACCGCGGGAAGCGGCGAGGCGAGGCCGGCGGGCGGGGAGGGCGGCGGCGGCGCCCCACGACCCCCCCGGGCACCGCCGGTAACGCTGGTCCTTGTCTTGCAGGAGAACGGCCACTTGAAGGTGAACGGCGACGCCTCCCCCGCGGCGGCGGAGGCGGGCAAGGAGGAGGTGCAGGCGAACGGCAGCGCGCCCGCCGAGGAGACGGGCAAAGAGGAGGCGGCCTCGTCGGAGCCCGCCTCCGAGAAGGAGGCGGGAGAGGCGGAGAGCACCGAGCCGGCCTCCCCGGCGGAGGGCGAGTCCTCCCCCAAGACTGAGGAGGGCGCGACCCCCTCGTCCAGCAGCGAGACCCCGAAAAAAAAAAAGAAGCGCTTTTCCTTCAAGAAGTCCTTTAAGCTCAGCGGCTTCTCCTTCAAGAAGAACAAGAAGGAGGCCGGCGAGGGGGCCGAGGGCGAGGGCGGCGCCGCCGCTGCGGCGGCGGAGGGCGGGAAGGAGGAGGCGGCGGCCCCTGAGGCGGCGGGCAGCGAGGAGGGCAAGGCGGCCGCCGAGGAGGCGTGCGCGGCCGGCAGCGCCGAGGCGGCGAAGGAGGAGGCGGGGGACTCGCAGGAGGCCAAATCGGACGAGGCCGCCCCCGAGAAGGCGGCGGGAGAAGAGGCCCCGGCATCGGCGGCGGCCGAGGAGCAGCAGCCGCCTCAGCAGGCAGCGGAGGGGAAGGCGGAGGAGGCGGCGGGCGCCGGCGCCGCCACGAATGAGGCGGGCAGCGGCGAGCAGGAGGCGGCCCCCGCGGAGGAGCCGGCGCGGCAGGAGCCCCCCGCCGAGAGCAGTCCGGAGGGACCCGCCGCCGAGTCGGCGGAGTAGTAAGCGCCGCCGCCGCCCCTCGCCGACGGACTTTTCTTCCCCCCTGTTTGTTTTTGGAGTGGTGCCAGGTACTGGTCTCGGAGAACTTGTCTACAACCAGGGATTGATTTAAAAGATGTCTCGTTTCTTTTTTTTCTTTCCCCCCGCAGCTCCCATCTCAAATCGTTATATGTTGCCGCCATTCCAACGGGCGGAGGGGGGCTCCCCTCCGCCTTCCTTTCCCATCCTTTATATTTTGGTTTTTTTGGGTTTTTTTTTTTCATCAGTATTAATGTTTTGTTTTGGTTGGTTCGGGTTTTTTTTCCGTTGGTTTTTTGCTTTTTAAAATTTTGTTCGTTTATTTTTTAATTTCATACTTTGCAACTCTCTTCATACTATAAAACTTTTGCCGATCGGTCTATGGACATGCCCATATATGAAGGAGATGGGTGGGTCAATAAGGGATATCAAATGAAGTGACAGGGGCCGCAGTGGGGAACCCGGGGTGCGCAGCCCTTGCCGGGAGCGCGCCCCGCCAGAAATGATGTAAGGGGTTAGTCTTTTTTTTAAAAGAAAGTTATTACGATGTATTTTGTGAGGCAGATGTTCTATAAGGTTTACAACACTACAAGTCTTGATTAAGAAGGAAAGGAAAAAGGAAAAAAAAAAAAAAATAAAAATCAATACCCAGATAAAGAGATCATAGTCTTAGAAATTCATTTAAACCATAGGAACTTTTCACTTATCTCATGTTAGCTGTATCAGTCAGTGATTAAGTAGAAATACAAGTTGTATAGGCTTTATTGTTTATTGCTGGTTTATGACCTTAATAAAGTGTAATTATGTATTACCAGCAGGGTGTTTTTAACTGTGACTATTGTATAAAAAAAACAAATCTTGATATCCAGAAGCACATGAAGTTTGCAACTCTTTCCACCCTGCCCATTTTTGTAAAACTGCAGTCATCTTGGACCTTTTAAACACAAATTTTAAACTCAACCAAGCTGTGATAAGTGGAATGGTTACTGTTTATACTGTGGTATGTTTTTGATTACAGCAGACAATGCTTTCTTTTCCAGTTGTCTTTGAAAATAAAGGAAATCTCTTCAGATGCAATGTTTTTTTTTTGTTTTGTTTTGTTTTGGTTTTTTTTTTTGTGTAGCATCTTGTCTATCATGTTTTTGTAAATACTGGAGAAGCTTTGACCAATTTGACTTAGAGATGGAATGTAACTTTGCTTACAAAAATTGCTATTAAACTCCTGCTTAAGGTGTTCTAATTTTCTGTGAGCACACTAAAAGCGAAAAATAAATGTGAATAAAATGTATAATTTGGTTGTCTTTCTTTTATGGATACTCTGGTAGCTTAAAGGAACTAGCCAGTATTGCCTAAATTTGTACAGAGACAGTCATGTGTGCTGTTAGCACTAGCTTTGAAAAGTACCTTCCTGGATCTTGGACTCTGTAATACTGTGTGTTTTACAGAGAAAGTGTGCAGTGCACCAGGTAATTTGTAGGCTTTTCTGGCTTTAAAAAGAAGACTGGAAGGCAGTCTGAGCATAGAGTGTATGATTCTCCTGTCCAGGCTCCATCTTGCTTTTAAGACCAGAGGTATCCAGTGTGTGATGATCTTGCCTCTTGAGGAAAATAAGATTTCATTTTAATTGCTTAGGGTGGGGCACTGAAATTTTTATGCTGAGTTGCTTAAAAATTAAGCTCTTGAACAGATGTCCCACTTAGGTCTTGGTATGCTGGTCTTGCTTTGGTACTAGATAACTGTCTTGAAAACTTTAGCCTGGAAGGAGAAGGGGGAAACTAAAACTGCCATTCTACTTAAAGTAATTAAAAGCAATATTTTCTTTTTTTCCTCAAGTGCTACTCCCAAGTACAGGTGAGTTTCAAAACAGATTACAAAATTTGTCAAAAAAAAAAAAAGAAAAATTACTTGGTGCTTGCCTTTAATTGTTAGGCTTTTTGGCTAATTTCCAGCATAATGCTCAGGGCAATTATGCCTTAATAAAACAGTGAGTTCATGTAAGAAAAGCAGCAGTGGTGTTTGGAGGGTGGAAATTGATTCAAGAAAGTGTTGCTTCTAAGTTTATAGGAGAAAGTTTAGTATTACACTTATTTGTTTCCACCATTTTCAGCAGAAACTCTTTGGAAGCAATTATGATTCATTTTATGAGAAAATGGCACGTTAGCACCTTGTTCCCTAAAGAACAAAGCCTAAACTGAATGAAGTATAGTAGATTTCCTGCTGAATGCATACTTTTTGTTTTGTTTGGGGTTTTTTTTGGTTTTTTTGTTTTCTAATTCAGCTGTCTACCATTTTAACTTTGGCTTGTATGTACTCTAGTTGCCCTGGTATTTCTCTATAACTTTAGAAATGTATTGAAACTATGCTATAATTGCTGAGGGACAAAAATAAATGGATGTAAAGCAAGATCCTCCACACCAGTGTCATTCTTGGAGTACATGTGTTTGAAGTCTAGTGCATAACTGCTTTGCTAAGGGGTTTTTATAACATGGCTGTAAAAACCTGTTCTGAGACGCATAATGTCTTGGCCATAGAGTCAATGTCTCTTTTTAATAAATATATATATTTGAATCCAAGGATTCTTAGAGAAGTCTGAATTTTTTTTTTTTTTTTTTGTCAAACTCTGTCTGTATATATGAAGAAAATAATTGCTAGTAAAGTTCTTTTTCAGATTTTTCTTAACCTCTCAAGCTTTCATGTTTTTTCCTCACTCAGCTGGTGGTTTCTGAAGCACTTCCTATTCCTGGGAGCGCAGAATTGCTCTTGCCCCTGGCAGACGGACTCTTGGCTTGGGGCTTTGTCATTCTGTGGCTTGACTTGACTTTAAATATATTTTCAAGTCCTAACACTGGTAGAGTTTCAAAAGTGCATCTTAAGAACACCAGTTGCATGGTCTGCTCTTCCTGTCCCAGCAGTCGGGTGAGATTTGATGATGCCAGTTTTCCACTGTGTGGTTTAAGAAGACAGAAGTCAAGAAATGGCTTGGAATCATGGAAATGGAGGAGTTCTGAACTGCTTCCTCCTGCCAGAGAATTGTGCAGGAACATCTTTCCTCCTGGGTTCCCAACGGAGTAGCCATTTCTGTGGAATTGTGGAATATCCTTTCTTATGTACAAGGAAAATGAAGGGGCTGGGTGTTAGTGACTGGTCAAGTGGTTCATCTTCTTCTCAATGAGAAATGGTTATACTTTTTTTTTTTTTTTTTTTTTTTAAATGCATTGGCTGCCTTAATGAAATGCTAATTATGATAAGTATTGTAATTTCAACAAATTCTCTCAGAGCATATGTGAATTCAAATTGTGTGATTTCAAACCGATTTTCCTATATCCTGGCTCTTTTTAAGCAGAATATTATTTTTGCTATAAACATGGTCATTTCTGTAGTGCTGAAACAAGGTCATTTTTTTAGGTAAAACACTGGGATCTGATTTTGCCTGATTAGGGGCTCTAGAGATTTACTTATTTTGTTTATTTACTTACACTGAGACAACAGTTTTCCTTGTTCAAGAATGTAACCTAGTTGCACACAAGTGCTTTAGATCTCATGCCTGTCTTGGTAAAATCTAAACTACATTTCAGACTTTCTAAATCAAGGTGTCTTACCTCAAGTACTTGAGTTTTGTATCTGGTCCTGATACTTGTTAATGTGAAACTGTAGGGACTTTGCCTTCAGGCAAGGAAGCGAGGCAGGAAAAGGGAAAGGTGGGATGGGTGAGGGAAGTGGAATCCAGGCTTTGTCTTCTGCTGGAGTGCCATCTTCTTGCTTGTGTCCACAATCCTTGGATACAAATCAAGTCTTGTATTGACTTCTGCCATGTCTAAAAATTCCTGTTGGTTGTATTAGATACAAGTGTTGCATGTGTATTTTACTCCTTTATTATGATGCTGTCTATGTTTGAAGAATGTTTTTTGTTCTGCAGTACTGTTTTAAACAGCTAACTCGTGAGCTTCACTTGCAGATGATCAGATAAAGGTTGAAGGTTTTCATCTGTTTTGATTGTTTGAGTTTTGCTAAGTTACAAGTCCTTTAATAATGCCTTTTAAAAAATCTAGAATAACACACATTCTACTCTGAAACTATAATGGCGGTTAATAGTTTCCTGCAAAATTAGTCCTGTGAATTTGGTCTTTATGCTATTTTGTATAGTGAAAGAGTAGTAAAAGGTCATCACTGGCGGTATTGGACTGGTTTCAGTGTTTGTTCTGAGAGACTGAGGTGAAAAGTGTTTTTCATAATGATGTAGCTTAGTTGAAAGCATCCTGATTCTAGCTTAGGACATTTTTTTTTTTTTTTTTTTTTACTATACTCAGGTCACTGAGATAGAATAAAGCAGGTCCTTTTTTTCCTGAAATAAGAAGCAAGTGAAATGGCATATTGTTTATAACATGGTGTAGACAGTGGGATTAATTTGTTCTCGTTACAAATCTGAGATCCTGGGATAGCTGTCAGTGAGTGGGAGCAATTGGCGTTGCGATGAGTCGGACAGGGCAGAGGAAAGCAGGCTCCTGTCACAGCAATGAGGGAGCGCAAGAGGTGGTGCTACCAAGAACTGCAAGGTTTCTGAAAGCCTGTGTACTGGCTTGCCCTAGGGAGAGCCAGGGTGGTGGCGAGCTTTTAAGGCCTGTTGCTTGTTTGAGGATGGAGAAAGGAAAGATGTAGCATGGTGCATTTACTGGGACAACTTGAGATTGCTCTGAAATGGAAACATTGCCTTTTGGGAAGATCAGAGGAGGGTTAGCAATGGGATCCAAGTGGCAATTATGCCTAAACAGAAGAGTGAGCAAAGTATTGCTGTGTGAATGAAGTACAGAGTTAGAAATATGTAAATTTGAGCTGTATTGTTGAGTATACTTTTTATACAAAAGCGAGAGGTATTCTTTATACAGAAGAATTCAGATTCAGAATGCCCTTGTTTTTAGGATACCTATAATGTTACCTGGTGGAGGTGACATAAAGGTTAAGTAAATGTTTTAGAAAGTTTTGAAGTCTTGAGGATGGTTACAAGTATTATTTACACATCTTTGCTCTCAGTCTTTGCTGCAGGAAGGCATGTTTATCCAAAACAGGACTATCAAGGTACTAGGTGAAACAAGACATTAATATTTGCAATTAGAAAGACACAAACAAGATATATGGAATGTTAGTTCTAAGATATGATGAATTTAGATAAAATATCAAAGACATTATTAAGTTAAAAGGAGGGGGGAGGATTTTGTGGTTTTGTTTTGTTTTGTTTGTTTGTTTCACCTAACACAATTTTAATTTTAGAACTGCAAGTACAGGGAAATCTTACTGGTGATGTATGCATTTTTATCACCAAGTAGCAAATATTCCAGGAGTTAGGATTCTTAGGATAGTTCCTGTGGCCATGTATGTGATAACCTGCACTAGAAGAGTGCTGGAGAGGGAATGTTTTGAGCCAAGAAATGCCACCTTCTGGGGTATTTTCCAACACCACAGCTGATACTGTGGGTAATAAAATATTTGATAGTTTCTCTTTGCAGAGAGCATAGTAACTAGAGATTTATTTTTAGATACAGTACAAACTAGACTCTTTCTCCTGAAGTTTACACCTTAGTTTCCAAAACAAGAGAAAAATACCTATGGATCTGTTGGCTAGGTAAGTTGTTCTTGCTGAGTAGCTCTAATAGCTGCAAAAAATTCCTTTGTAGCATATACTAGAGTAGTTATTTTTCTGAAGTTTGGTATGGAGAACCACCTGAGTATTTAAAATTAATTTGATGACACAATAAGCCATGCTTACAAGGGTCACCTGATGTTCAAAGGAAGCAAAACCCATTCAATCTCACCGTAAAAGAACCATTTTGAACCAGTTAAGACCTGCATAGGCAGGGCCTTTAAAAGGGGACCAAGAGAAAAAAAGAAACCAATCCCCAAGCTTTAGGAACTAAAGGAAGAAACTGCTTTTTCTAGGCTCCTGAAGCAAGACTGTCATAGGCTTAAAGTACCCCTGTTCTGTCTTTAAAAAAATATAATTTACTTATGAGAGACACTGTTTCCACTGGAGTGCAGATCCATGTTCCTTTCAGACATCACCAGTGAAACCAAGTCCAAAACTGATTGGTGAAGGTAACATTTTTCAGGAATGAATCATTAGGGCACTCACAAGTCCCACATTGCAGTTTAGGAGTCTGTTAAAGCAAACTTAGCAGATATAGCTCAGAGGACTTATCTCCTCTGAGGACACTAGACAGCAAATATATCCCACCTTGGTAATTAAATAAAATGATAGAAATCCTGGACTGATACTCAGAACACAGGAAGGAAGAT